ATGATTCAGTGAAAGAAAAATTTATACAGTGGCAGAGACATTTTGAATGAATATCTAAGATACTTTGCAAATTTGAAAAATACAAGCCCATTAATAAAAAAACACAAATGCAATAGCCACAACACAAACTTTTACATTTGTGTTTTCTGTTAATGGTTTTGTCTGTTTGTTTGTTTTCTCTTCGAGTTTGCATTTACATTTGAAACGTCTTAGCCACCATAGCTGTGGCCAGCACTGCAGCAATTTTCTCCCATTTGTAATTCACCCTTTATTCTACTTTAGGTTTCAATTACTGTTGTAGCTGTAACATATAAGCATTTTATTTAATTCTATTTTCAGTTTAGTTCAGACATACAAAGTTGTCTAAATAGGTCTGAACTAACTTGGGATCCCTCTGTGGAAAGCAGTGGCGGTGACTCTGATCTGGCTGCTTGCTGTGGTGCTCGCAGTCCCCGAGGCGCTGGCGTTTGACATGCTGGAGATGCCGTACAGAGGCAACAAGCTGCGCGTGTGTCTGCTGCATCCAGAACAGACCACCAGCTTTATGAAGGTAGCCACTTAATTTTAACAGCATCATAAACTCAAGCACCTGGATACTTTCATCTTGCAGAAATAAGGATTACATGTTATGTTGTTGTTTTCAAACATGCATATGGTCAGAGTATCTTGCACACTGATTTAAAGCATTCTTTCTATTAAGGCTTAGTTAGAAAGATATTATGGATTTTTTTTTAAACCTGTACCTACAGCTCCTGAACAGCAATGATTCAGTTAGTGCATTTCTTTAATCAGGATTTCTTTTCTATTTTTCAAACTCTGCCAACAAGTAGATATTCCAAAAAATGTGCTGTAATACCGTCCATATACACTGCATGCAAATCATCTGTGACTCAAAACAGTTCATGGTACTGTCAAAAAGCTGCAAAGCAAGACAAAAATTGCAAAGACATTTCCTGGATACTGTGGATAGTGGATACTTGTGGATACCAGTGGATACTTCAAGTTTATTTATGTCCCAGGGTCTGGAGGAATTGCATAAAGCTGCGATGTCTTTTCCTGTGTCATTTTAAATCAGTTTATTGTAATTAGAGTTGAATTTCAATGGCAAAAAGACATAATTCAGCCTGAGATGGTGGATTACTTTGAGGAGAATTGGTGTTTGTGTCCTTAAATCATTCAACTTTGTTTTCCACAAGGGCAAAAAATAATTACAAAAGGTCTCTGCCAAACCAAAACAAGTCTGAAACTAATTTAACTTGTATGTACCAAATTTGTTGTGGAAGTGCACTGACATCTTCTCTTTATTCTGCAGTACAAGTACTTTAACCTTACTTCACCATGAGATTGGTGTACTGTATGGACAAGAAAAAAAAAGCTGACTATTTCACAGTGAAGTCCTTAAATGGCCACATGGTGGCATCATCTACATAAAAAATGAATCAGTTATTCTCTGATTTATGGCTGAGATGTGAAATTAGTTCCTTAGTTTTTCAGACATCCTGTTAACAGATAAATAAACCTGAAACACAACTACCTTGAGATAGTAAATAAACAAAACAAACAACAACAAAAAAAACACCAAACACTATCTTACTGAAAAATAAGACTTTATTGTAATTGTCTGCGCAGTTGGTAACAAGTGATACTACATCATGACATCATGGATACTTCTATGTACTTCATCCTGTGACAGCACTGGAAGTCTGTACACTGTTAATGTAGCGGTTAAGTTCAGCAGGGGCAAAGGCAGAGATTTTTTATATGGGTGGCCAGATGGGGCCACTGAAAATCTTGGGATGGCACACCAAAACCAAAAGCTGTGACTGAATTTCAGTTATTCTGTTATGCTGTAGAAGTATAAAGGCTGGTTGAAAACTATGTCAAGAGTTACAGAATCTCATACTGATAAATTTTGGTTTCTTAATTTACAGTTAATGTCACTCATTTTCTGATGTGCATCGACTAATATTGGCACAGTTAACATTTTGAGTTCTACAACAATCCTGTTTTAATGTGTCAGTGCCTATAGCCCAGGTCAGACCAAAGATTCGCAACAAGACGAAACCATTTTACAACATTGCAGACCAAAGTTGCAGCGGTGTGTGCCGGCTGATGGCGTCACCTGCAATTCCAATGCTCAAATCAACGGTGGCTGGTTTTAGAACATAAAGCATATAAAGCACGTCACCTGTTTTAACAGCCAATCGGTTTGTAGTGAAGTCCACTGGTCAAGTCAAAATGACCGCAGATGGAATGTTTGCCCTCAGTTTTTTGTCCTCACAGTGCCCCAACACACACACAGACACACACAAACACATTTCATTGACTCATTAATTGGCACTGGTTATAAATATTATTGTGTTGTATTTATCTTGAATACAGTCCATCTGATGCTCGTTTTGTTTCTGTTTTTTGCAGTTTTATCAATACAACAAATGCAGCTGTAGCCAGTATCTCCCTATCACTTTCCTCATTCATATTTTAAGAAACTATAAATTATATTCAGCCACAAAACAAGCCTGTAAAGCTGGAATTTAGAACGGAAGTACAGAGAGTTGTTGCATAGAAATGATACTCCATCTCATCTAGTTGTATTGGTGTGAACCAACAGCTTTTTAGAACATTGCAGAACGGCACATTGCAATTAGTTGCCTGTTTCAACTTGTCCTGTTGCAAGTCTTTGGTCTGAACTGGGCTTTAGATGATTCATTGTTCCTCAGATGGGCTGGTTGTCCTTTTCCTTAAAAAGACAAATATACAGCTTTAATTTGAATGACCACATGGATTGTAAGGAACAAAGCATTTCCTGGGAACACACCTACTCAAATAAAAAAAAAACACCACAAACAGAGACCTCCAATTATTTTGATTATTTTTGCAATTATATCAGGGTGGCCATGACACTCACCCTCCCCCGGCTGCACCACTACTGACAGTAGGATACTTACCTTATTCCTGCTGAGACAAGCTTCTGAAATTTTCCACATTCATGTAAAATGTTGCACTGCAGATATCAATCAAACCTATCACTCACCAACGTCTTACAGCCTCGGTATCTGACCTCCTGAAAAGTGTAGGATTAGTGTAAATCACTGGCAGTAAAGGAAAAACAGGATGGCCCCTTAAAGCCCAGAGGGAGAAATGTAAGAACTGAGTGCACTCAGTGCAGCACAAAAAGGCTCCTCAGGGTGGTTATAGAGCAATGCAGACTCCAGCCTTTTAAGAACGACACTGAATGCAACAGAATAAACCTCAAAAAATGTCAAGGCCATCTAAATTATGTGGCAAGACAGATCTTGTATTATACAGTAATACAATACTTCAATTTCTAAGTAATTGTGCTTTTTTTTGGTGGCAAGGTACTCCGGTTAAGACAGTACTATTTTCCTCCATATTTATTTCTAAGTGACCAATAGGAACAACAATTATTCTAAATTGGTCTGGTACTGAGCGAGAATGCTGCAGCCAGCAGTGCCCCACAGGCTGCAATGTGATAACTCAGAGCATGTTTGCACCATCAATGTATGTCCACTAGAAGTACTTGCTTTTGCCACTGACAGGCTCAGATTGTTATTCTAAGTGTCAGACAACATTATGCAAAGGATCCCTACAGAGATACACCTTGTTGGTAAAAGTAAGATCCTTTTTATTTGACCAGAAACAGCCACAAAATCACTACTGATGTATACAATGTGTGCTCCACTCTTAGAAAAGTCCACTGCATATCAAATCAAGTGTTTCCTAAACTAATAGCCAGCCTCTATTTTTGGAGGTTGCGTGTGTACCCTGCAGTGGCAGCCTGTGAAAAACCTTCCTGAATGTTGCTGCTGCAGCAGAGGCAAAAAGTAATATACAGCAGAGAGCAGACGAGCAAAATGAAAATCAAATGCCTGGAGCAGAAGGTGAAGAGTCACTTAAGTTACCTCACTGAATCCCTGTCTTTGTCCAGCATCACCTCAGACTCCAACCAGCTCACAAAGACAGACTGAAATAACAACTGTAATCACATTACACTAAAAATATGTGTCCAATATAAAGGCTGTTTTCATTTGGTTGCATTCTGTGTTGGCACATCTAATTTTAGCTAGCTTATATTTTAGGTACAGTTATATTTATGTTTTGTTCCTAGGAGATGCACTGAATTCAGGCGAAGGATTTATTTTTGGGTTTAATGTTTTGATACAGTTTTATTTACATGTTATTTCTAGGAGATGTAAAGATTTGTACATTAGCAGGAAGTAGCACAACATGGAAGTGAAAGCAGTGCTCTGTTTATTTAAATGTGACAGTGCAATAAAAATATTTTGTGCCTAAAATCAATTAATAATTGTGATAAATAATCGTGATCTCAGCATTGATCAAAATAATCGTGATTATCATTTTGGCCATTGTTGTGCAGCATGAGGACCCACTAACTTTCCCACCTGTGAGTCCCGGGGACTCACTACGTTGGAGACCCGTCAACATCAATGAACTAACACTATTTCTAATGTACACGAGTGTTGTATCAAAATCTAATAATACTCTGTGCCATTAAATGGATGAGACGGATTTCCCAGATTTTACATTTAAAAAAACACTTGTATAAATCTGCTTTAAAATGTAAAGAGTAACAGAAAAAATAAAATGAGCATCAAGCACTAAGAAGTCCATAATGAAAAAGCTTTGCTGCAGTCGTGCGCTGACTGCTTCATCATTAAAAGAAATGAACATCACTCTCCAGTGTGTTACCTGTCCTTTCAATTCTGCCTCCATGCTGTCCATGTGACCTACAGGATGTGGTTCCATCACAGTGATAGAGCGGCTCCCCATCGTGTGGCCGCTGATACAGAGTACTGACGCTGCCTTTGCAGGCTGAATGTGCTTGTGACTGAGGCGCCACATGGCGAAGCTGTATAAACAGGTGCATCGAGGCAGAGCTGCTGTGTGCTTTTATGCATCCGTTGCCTCACAGAGTCTTTCGCTTTAACACTGGCTGGTCTTTTCTGGGCAGATGAAAGACTCCTGGTCTTTTCCCACTGCACCCATAGCAACCTGCTTCTCCCCGCCAGTCTTGTTGTGTTCTGTGGTGCTGCTGCTTTTTGAAGGATTCTGGAGGTTACGCTGGCGCTCCACACTGTGCCACATGCCGTAGCCAAAGTAGATCAGGAAGCCTGAGAAAAATGTTGGAAGAGATATGAAATAGGCTACTAATGAAAAAAACAGTGTAACACCTCCTTCTAACATACAGTGAGCGGGCAACCTCTGGCAGATGGAGCACCAAAAACTAGCCAACAACAATCAGGGAGCCTTTTAAAGCCCTGATCGAGCCTAAGGAACAGCATGCCAGAAACTTCACAAAAATAGAGCCAGGGTGAACATTTGTGGGGGGTTTTTTAGCAAGCATCACGTCACTTAGCCTGTTCACTGACACACGGAGCAGGTTAGGACATCTTCATCTTCAAACTGAAATAATCTGATATTTGCTTCTTTGCTCCTTCGCATCCAGTTAGGAAGAGTTGTCAGGTGTCGCATCTCTGAGGGTTGAGTTTGACATTTTAGATCATGTTTGCTTTCTTGCCAAGAATTAGATATCACTGATACCACTTTCATATGTGTAAATATGAAGCCACAGGCAGTCAGACTGTGTAAAAGAAGCGGACGTAGTCACTGTGACGTCACCCATTGGTTTGTGAAACCTTGAGTTTGACATTTTGGTCGTTGTTTTTTTCTGAGCCAGAAGGGACCATATTTGGGTGAAAGGGTGGAGCTGTGGAGGAGCGAGGGATGGACCTGACTTGTAGCCACACCCTTACGCGTAGCTGGCTTTAACGTATATTTTATTCTAAATAGGACCATGATTTACTAAATGAACCTCATGCTTTATCAAAGAATATTTGAAACTTGAGATTGAGATCATAAATCAATCAAAAAGTAGCATCATTTTCCCATTGATGTCTACACAATCAGACATTATTTTGCAACCAGTGGAGTCGCCCCCTGCTGGCCAATAGAAAGACTGCAGGTTTTAGACACCTGCAGGAGACAGTTAGCTTAGCTTTGCTCGTCCGAAAGACAGAATCCATCCACTAGCCTCTAAAGCTCATTAATCAACATTCTGTATCTGGTTTGTTAAATCAGTATAAAATCCAAACTGTGAAATCACCATGTTGTGGTGTTCCGAGGGATTATGTTCACAACTACAGCAGAGGCAGAGTTCCTTTGGTATTCATCTTCTCTTCTAATTCTTAACAAAAAAAACTAATAAGCATATTTTCCAAAATGTCAAACTACTCCTGTAAATGTCCACGATGGATCATGGCTGTTTGTAACCGGATGGGATCAGCTTTGGACCAGCAGTTAAAAGACACTCACCCACAAACATCCACACAGAGAAACGTATCCAGGTGTCTCCACTGAGCTGGACCATGAGGTAAATATTGACAAATATGCTCAGAATGGGCAGAAAGGGCAGAAGGGGAACCTGTGATGACAACAAGCAAAATATTGGATCAATCTCACTCAATAACTCAGGGTTTGGTATGAAAGTGGTGAAGTTACTGAGCTGCCACGCACCATGAAGGAGACCTTCTTGCTAGTCTGAGGCTGCCTACAGACCATGAAGATGCAGCCGCTGAAGATGAGGAGACACACGGCCAGCAATACCAGAATCCACACTTCCATACCAAGGATGGAGTAGATGTGGTATGTGGTGAGGTAGCTGACCACACACACTACCAGCACTGTGGTTTGAAAACACACACTTAATTCGGATGTCTTTTGTCACACCATTTAAAAAAGGAAAGATTATATAACCTTGGTTCACTCACCTAGCACACAGATGGACATGTTGACCACACTGGAAGAATGCTCAGAGGGTGAGACAGCAGGGTGCAGGACAGCCTGCAGGGTGGAGCTGCCACCCTTCAGCATGTTGAGGTGGGACTCTGACTCTGTCAGGTCGGACTCGCCCTCCTCAGAGGACAGGTAGTCTCTCTCACTGGTGCCTGCTCGCCGCTCTAGGGTTCCATCTGGCTGGTACCTGGACCACAGAGGCATCAGACATTAAAGGTCACAAGTCTGCATTTTACCACAGCAAAATGTTCAGTGTTTTCAATGTCTCTACATACAACCTATTTACATTAGGGATGCACCCATTGTGAAATTTTGGGTTGATACCGATGTTTATATCAATTTGGCCCATAGTGATGTTTCTGTTGTTTTTATTTATTTTGTTTTTGTTTTTACTTACTCCCCTTTTGTGCCAGGGAAACAAAAAAAATCTTCATTATAAAATTATAATAACTGAGCTGTTTTAAAGTCATTCAGCCCTTCATTACACAATCTTTGAACAAGCACAAATACAATCATACAAATTTATGAAACAACCTTAAATAAATCCCAAAATCCCAATTGCATTTTGCATTTGAACACATCACGATAGCAATATAATTTACCTTAACCCAATAATCATTTTTACTGAATAGAGCTTGAACGCATCATAATGTAAGCAATCACAAAGTACATTTACATGGACATTAATAACCTGTTTATAAGGTTTATCCAGGTTATGATTATATTTGTGATATTGTGTTTACATGACCACAGAAAAACTGGGTTATTCTTATTTCTCATTATTCTTGTTTCTTTTAGAGTGCTCCAGCATATTAGGGTATCTCATAAATGGAGTATAGTGTTTACATGCTTAGATACATAAACAAGATATTTCAAAATCCGATCATAAACAAGGTATTAATGTCCATGTAAACGCAATCCTAGATGTATAATAATATGTAGATACCGAACCCCTGCTTTAACTGGAACAGTTTGTAGCAGTGGTGTTTCTCCTGCAAGCTGTGCCCACGATATTCTGTTTAGCTCATAGACTTAACATTGTGATGACATCACAGATTTTTAAATCGCTTTTCTCGGCTTGAGGAAAGTTTTACAAATATAAAACCTCCATGGACCAAAACTTCATAATAAAAATTGTCAACAGCTTATAGACGTCAATAGTGGTCTATGGGGAAAATGTCTGAAAATTGATGACCGGTGAATGTCATTTTATTAACATGACTATAGGCCAATGGCAGTTAATAAGGCCAATATTGGCTCATACCAAAATTCAGCTGATCAATCAGTACATCTCTACTTTAGTGTCATATATACAGCCACAGATCGCTTTCACGGTGAAATAAGCTGTTTAGTTTTACTTTACAAAACAGCGAGGCCTGTAAATCCAGTTAAAATCAGGGAACGAACACTGTGTTCATGTTTACTACTGCTGTGGTGATGAGTCACCTCAGTTCACCCAGCAGAGGTGTACAGCAGGTCCAGACTGCAGCGAAACTTCAGTAAACACCTTCATTCACTCAAGCAGCCACTTCACACTCACACAATGGGAGCATTCACAGCTCTTACATCACCAATGTGATGCAATAACAGGAGGCGTTTGCGAGGTGATCATACCTGTAGTGGGTTTTTAGAAATCCACAAGGTAAACTGTTTCACAGTGTGGCTCAAATAAGAGTCCTTCGATATTTATAACTGTACCCACCTGAGAATCAGGACACACACAGCAACCAGCGAGTAGGCCAGCAGAGTTCCAATGGACATCATGTCGACCAGTGCTTTGAGGTCAAACAGGAAAGCCATGATGGCTATAGCAAGCAAAACAAAAATGTAGTTAGCACAAAGAACATTTACAAGACATGGGATCATTACTGATTACTGGAGACAATCATTTACACAAAATACATGCATTTACATTTACACCCACAACAATAATATTCTTGCACTTAAAATGTTGATTTTTTTTCAGATGCACACTCCAACAATAAACATAAACATGACCGGATGCAAATTAAATTTCATGCAGACATGTCTTCATGATAAAAAGACACAAAGGAGCCAAATGCGTCTCTGGGCTGACAGCTGTAATCATCTGCGTACTGAGTGTCGTTTGATGTGAGATACACTGTGGTGTTCCCTCTCTTGTATCTCAGCAGCAGACTCCGGTATGAATTTGATCTCAGCAGCACAGTACAAACACAGAGCCGTGGTATGTCCACTGCTCCTCATAACATAATATTAAAACTGAAATAACAGAGAAAGCTCCCCTGCCCTGTTCTATCAGCTGCACTATACACTGTACACCCAGTGTTCACATCTGCCTGCCATTTTTACTCACATCATTCATCCTACAGGTCTCAGCCCAATACCTGAGGGCAGTGAGCACCTTACCAGTCCCCAGAGGTCAACCATTTGCATTTCTACTTTATTTTATCATTGGAAGTAGAACATCTCAGTTTAAGTCATTTTACTTAACTTTAAGACTGACTCAACAGCAGGCCAAAAAGACATGTTTCACTATCCTTTCAGGTTGAAAGTTTCAATCCTGTTCACTGCGTGGTCAGAAGTGCACTCTGTTGGAGTGATGTTACGATGTACTAACACACCCTGGAGTACACTTCGACATCACTGCAGCAAAGTGAGAAGTTGATTTCAATACAGCCACTAACCACTAACTGTTATCTTAATGCTCTTCAATGTGGTGACCATCTTTTCTAAATAAAAAACTTTATGAAAGAAAACCTAAATCTCAATCAAACCTACAGAATTAAAGACTTAATTTGATATATGGGGAAATGGCGTATATTCTGTCTTGCCAGGGATTAGATGAGAAGATTGATACCACTCTCATGTATGTGTGCTAAATATGAATACAGCCCAGCATCTTAAAAGTCACAATGAAACCCCGGGAAGTCACTGTTCCAAACCAGGAAATCCAGCAACCTCCTGTAAAACCACAACTTGTCCTTTTTTGTTTTGTTTTTTTCCATGTCAGTTTTTATACTAATTCAACAAACCAGATATAACGTGTTAATAGATCAGCTTCACAGATGCTGGTATGCAAGTGTTGTTACCTTTGGACTCGGGCTGGCATGATATCAAATTTTCATTACACGATAATTGTGGCCAAAGAAATCATGATAATGATATAACCGTGATATGAAAAGAAAATTTTAAACAATAGTAAAAATAATAGTAATGCTATCAAATTTATCTTTAACTTATTGTGCGTTTTCTCTCTTTTTTGGCAAATAAATTACACAAAGGCGAGGGAGACCAAGCGAGAACGGAAAGAAATAGGTTTTTTTTTAATAATACTGGTACATTGCGACACCCTTACTAACGAGCTGTTTCCCCTTGTTTCCGGTCTTTGAGCCAAACTAAGGTAAGCGTCTCTGTACTCTAGTTTCATGTGTTGTTTAATCTGTACAAAAAAGGTGTAACTAGAAAGTCAAGTGCAGATCACTGTCAGGTGTGTCTCCAGGCATGTGGGTGGGGAACAGGGAGTGTGCAGCAGTCTGTGTGTTCAGTGTGTATACATGACAGTAATGGAATGAAGGGGAGACAATATGCAGGTTACATTATCAAAGTGTAAGCAGAGTAGACAGGCTATATGGAGACAAACCTTAAACAAGATGTCCAATAAAACCCCTATGTATACTTCCCAAAGAAAGAAGAGTTGAATCTCACTGAATTGTCTCCTCCAGCAGCAAAGACAGCAAAACTGGGATTTATTAATCTCCTATCATACGTAGCTTTAGTGAATTATATATTGCTGTCCAATGAAAAACACGTATCTCCACTTTTGATGATTTTGACTTTCTACAGTGCATGGAGTGTCCATAATATTCCCTAGCAATCGTTAGCATTGGGTATCCAAATGACCAATGGAAAGACATTTTATTACATCATCTATTCAACACGTATCTCCACTGGGTGTCAGAAGTGTCCATCAAAGTGCATAGAAAGTCAAATCGTCAAAAGTGGAGATACGTGTTTTTCATTGGACAGCGACAATATGGGGTATGAAATTAATCTGCAGATGCTCGGGTTCAAAACAAAACCAAAGTTTTCTCTGGATGTCAGTTTGCCTGCAACAGACTAGGCAAGGCTTGTTTGTAGTCGAGACGGTTGTCGGAAATGTCTTTTGCTGTGATTTTGTTGATTACCTGCAGCTCCTACCGGCCGGTTAAGAGGAGGGAGGAATCATCAGTCGATTAAATGATTAAACAGAGCAGTCAATACAAAAATTGTGAATCACCACAACCACGAGATGCTCTTGAGCATACAGTTATTACTGTGTGCACTCAAAAAACATTAGGCTGATGGGTCCAGTAGTATGTGAGATTAGCTGAGGACAGACAGCACACACACAACCAAACACATAATCCTCTCCAGGCTCACGACTGGTATAGATAAAAAAGAAGACATTGTGTTTTTCAGGGGGTTATGTGCCAGGAGCAGTAACTTCCTGGAGTCTTGCCGTTACTTTAAGGTTGCCAGGCTGTAGCTTCCTATTTAAATGTTAATGAACTTATCAACCTAAATAATGTGTGCAATGTTTTTCATATGGGTTTGGAAGCACCATCACTAACTTTAACATGCAGTCACCACCACCAGCGTGCACAGATCAAAACACCAAACAACGTCCACGATACAACCCCATAATAGGCGAGTCTTCATCTCTTACCCGCAGTGGTACCTGCCGCCATGGTGGCAGCTACAGGAGACTGGCGCTTACTCACTTTGGACATAAATTTGAACAGAATACCATCTCGTGCCATGGCAAAGAGAATGCGCGGCAGAGGGAACATGCAGCCCAACAGGCTAGGGAGAAGAGGGTTCATGGTTAAGTTGAGGGAAAAAAAACATAGCACCTGCACAACTGTGAAAAACAACATATGTATATTGAGGGAAAACCTCCTATAAAGGGAATTATTGATACAAGAGGTTTAAAAGAATGGGTCAATTTCAGGAAAAAAGAAGCAAATTAATATCTGCATCTGTCACTGTGTCTTTCACAGTTGATTAGTGGAAAAAGATTAGCGGGAGTAATCTCACTGGACGCTCTCCGACTCTCACCTGCTACTACACCGGAGGTCATAGTGGCAATAAGTGGGGTCTTCGTCTTAGGATTGATTCGGGCTAAGACTTTGAAAAGCACCCCATCCTGCGACATAGCATAGATTACACGAGGCATGGGGAAAATGGAGCCCAGCAGACTGCATGAGACAGCAGAGACATGCAAGACCAACAAAGTTAGTCCAAAGCCCGAAACACAGACACACACAAATTAACACCAACAGTCACATCATCAAAGCTTCAGAGCATGATTGAGGTCAGCTGGTGTCTTTCTTTCCTGTTGTTTCCGTTGTCTTTAAACAGACATGTTTATGTTTGAAAGCAGGTTTTAGTTGTTTTTCTCAGTTTTCAGTGTTGATTTGGAGTCAAGCCTGTTTTGAGCATGTGTCTGTGAGTCCTTACAGTACCCAGAAATATTAACATTTATTCCAAATATATAAATGCACCAAAATGTGTGTCAAAGGGGATTCACAACTAGTAGCAACTGTGAGAACAACTGCCAAGGGGCGGACCCCAAAGGAACCGTCCTAACACCAACTGCAGGCACTGACATGTCTAATTGGAGAATATGCACATGAGTGCAGATCATAGGTGAAGTCTGTGACTGACATCCACCAGGGCTTGCTTATGGAAAACTGAGGGAGAACTGATTTCGGAAGACTTCAGGGAAGAAAGACAGAATTAAATCACACCAATATATTGTTTATAGACAAACTTGCCCACCATATGTATGATACTTCAATTATAAATAATATGTTACAAACACATGCAGGTATCTGACAGCACAGAGGCTTAAGCACTGGACCCACTATGCCCCAGTAAGCAACAGGAACCAATCTAATAACAAGACAGACAAATGCAATGTCAGAAAGTTTGACCAGATCTCCTCCACCATTATCACCCATTTATAGTATGCACATCAGCCAGAAAGTCTTAAAGACACCTAAATGCAACAACTAAATACTTTGTCTACTATGAATATTAACATTTTGTCCTCAACTTGTTTTACAAAAGCAATCCAGTGCTTACCTGGTGGAGAGGGCACACAGTGAACCTGCAGCGACCACATATTTGGCAGGGCCCCAGCCCACATATTCAAAGGCCATGGGCAGAGGGCTCTTCTCATCCAGCAGGTAGTAGGGCATCATCAGAGTGAGTGCGGCTGACACACCAAAGTATGCCAGGAAGCACACGGTCAGTGACACCACAATGCCGATGGGAATGGCTCTCTGAGGGTTCTTCACCTCCTCGCCTGTCACACACAGACACACAAATATCTTTAGCTTTGTTTAAGTCACTCTTAAAGGGACAGTTCACCCCAAAATCAAAAGGAAAATATTATTCCTCTCACCTTTAATGCTGATTACCAATCTAGATTGTTGTGGTGTGAGTTGCTGAGTGTTGGAGTTATCGGCCATAGAGATGTCTGCCTTCTCTTCAGTATAATGGAACTAGAAGGCACTCAGCTTGTGGTGCTCAAAGTGCACCACAAAAAAATAGTTTCATGTGGGAACTATTTTCTTTCTACCAAACAACACCCACCAACTGCATCACTGTGCAGAAGGAAGCGTGCATCTACTCATGGACAAGAGGCTTGTGCTTGTGACAGCACGAGATGTTAAGATTTATGGCATCTTCTTTGGCTTAACTGTAGCATTAGCTAGCTCAGTGGTGCTAGGTGAGCCAGCAGTAGATGCACACTTCCTTCTGGATTGTGATACGGTTGGTGGGTGTAGTTTGGTAAAAGAAAGTAGTTCCTTTATGAAACTGCTTCACAACAAGGAATGTGGATTATCTTGAGTAACTGGTTCATGACTACAGGTAAGAGGAAAAATATGTGGTCTTGATTTTGGGGTGAACTGTTCTTTTTATCACATCCGATCAGTAGCTCACCTGTAGTTGCAATGCAGTCAAATCCAACAAAAGCGTAAAAGCAGGTAGCAGCTCCAGCTAAGGTCCCACTGAAGCCGAAGGGCATAAATCCTCCAACTCCATAATCACTGCTCACGTTGGCTGTCACCGACAAGTTCCTGAGACACATAAACTGTTATTTCATAACATAAAAACATGGTTGACATAAGGAGAAGTTTAACCACTGCTGCCCTGCATGTTTTATAGAGACCAATGCATCAATGCAAACAAATCAGACTATCAGCAATACTGATAGTTCTGTTATGTCTGTTGTTTAGGGCTTTACAAACATATAACTGTAATGGTTAAATTAATGAATTACCTTCTAACTATGGTGACATTAATAAGGGATTCTTCAGTGATCTTCCAGTTTTGTGAGTCTCCTTTGACGAAGCCAGAGATGATGACGAACAAGAGTACGAGCACATTGATCGAAGTGAAGACTTTGTTGACCCAGGCTGACTCCTTCACCCCAAACGACAGCAGTCCTGTGATGGGCAGAGAGGCAACAGAGCTCAGCACAGTGATGTGATGTTTGCTGTTTAACTGAAATGCCAGCACTACTTTGATAAATATTTTATCAGTGAATGTCGAGTAGTTGCAATGTGTCTTTGTCCACATCATTATTAATATTATTATCAAGTTGTATCACCTAAAAACCTAATACTTTTTTTAAAAGACACTGCCACTTGATGGACTTTAAATTAAACAGCTTACAGATGAACGATGCTAGCAGCTCTGTGAGGCAGTAGCCTACTGAGGCACAGTGGTGCTTTGAGCTAAATGCTAACATTAGCATGCTACATAAAAATCTACAAGTAGGATCACCAAAGTTAATAAAATTTGTCATTTAGGGTACACATTTCACAGCTTCTGAACAGTTTATGTTGACATTTATGCATTTACGTGTTTTAATGTACTCTGAAATAAAGCAGAGAACAAATAAACAATTGGAGATAAAAAAAATCTTTGTTTTAACACGTTTAATCTTTTGACTTATCAAGGTAGCAACCATTTGCAGATATAACAGCTGAACACACTGGCAGCATTCTTTCTACAATGGAAATCAGATACTGTTTTGTTATTCCCAGCACTGTCGTAGAAGTTCCCAGTAATCTCAATATCTTGCATTTGTAGCTTAGGGGTTTGTTTTGGGTCTTTAGCTTGCTGTAGATGAAGAGAGAGACCGGAGGGTAATGCATAGTGCAGCAAAATGTTGTGGTAGCCCTTTTCATTCAGCATATATCTAGCGTAGACTTATACTTTACCTGTCCCTCCCTCTTTCTTTGCAGTACAGTCTTGGTTAGATGTGTTACAGTAGCTTCTTGCTGTCTGAGCCACACAAATTTTAAACTAATGGTTCCTGGAATAATGTGTTTTATAATAACCAATCATATTTCTCCCTAAAATTGACCTCTATACTTAAAAAAATATTTAGTACTGACCTTTACCTAACCTGCTGTGCTTTATGAAAATAAGATCTGTTCTATGAAAAGAAATGAATGTTGGAAAAATATCATAGAAAACATTAAATCAAACTTTCTCATATAGGTAGACACTATGTTACAACACTAATTTTATGTTTAAAACAAATTAGTAAACTGTTTGTATTCTCTGAAAATAATTGCTTCTTTACGTGATTTGTAAGATAAAACCTTATAACTCCAAGTAGAAATGGACTTCTTAGGATTAGAAGTTCCGTCCCTAAAAAACCCATCTACAAAGCTGACAGGATTTTGATATTTTACATTCAGAATAACTTGAGGGTGTGTGTCATTTTCATGTATGTAAGAGACTTGTTCCATGTATCATTTTTGCTATTTGGAATGCAAAAACTTTGAAGCTCAATACCTAAAAATCACTCAGACTGCAGTTAGAACCTGTTATGTTAACTCTACAAACTATGACGTGCATTATAAGAATGCTAAGTGCTTCACCTTGGTACAGTCCATACAGTAAATGTCCCATTAAAATCCATTGTTTGGGGTTATGGTGCAGATCTGACTAGTCAAAGAGTGGCATTCATAAGAAGGTTGTGAATGCATCACTAGAACACAATGAGACATTCTCATATCTCTCTTATAGTAGTAGTATTTACATTTTTAAAAACAAACATAAAAAGACAGACTGAAAAGTCTTTTTTGTTTTTATTGTCTTGTAAATGTCTTTCTTCGTCAGTAAGATAGGTGGAGATCCTGGCTAAAATATTTGCATGGATACAATAAGATAAATGAGGGATGAGATATGCTCTCCGGTAAATAGTTTCTGGCTTGCTTTTAAAGTTAAAGCTTCTTCTTTGAAAGACTTTGATTATCTTGACCAATTTTAGCAATAACTTTTTTACTGCCACTCAATCGGTCAAACCTGCAGCTTTTTAGTTTAAACAGAGACTTCCTTGTTTTTAACTTGGCAGCAACCTTGAGGGCTGAAAAATGAGGCCAACACAGAAATACCAAAAACTGCAGTTCCCTGAATGGCCACTTGAGGCTGGCTCCAGAAGCCAGTCAATACCCATAGACGCCCATGTTAAAATGCCCAACTTCACAGCAGAAATGAACCTGTTAACAACCTGGTACAAAAACAGTTTTGGTCTATTTCACCGTTTTTGACAACTAAACAAAGAGTGACTTTTTATATAACTCACCTGTTACATTTTATTATGGCTTAAATGTTATGCATATTCAAGGGCAGGAATGCTTTGAGCGACTGCTTGGCTGTGGATTGTGTCCTCAGGTTCTCAGTCAGATCAAGATGGGCACCAAATTGACTCAAGGCTTCAAAACCGGTGTCCACAAACCAATGGGTGACAGCTACATCCACTATTTTAAAGTCTATGCTTTCAACCACCGTTACGCTGTGCTTGAAGTTGTTGTCCTGTTAGTTGCCTATCAGCACGAGCTGTTGACTCTCAGAAACTTGCCTTCTGATTCTGTTACGAACTGTGTCTGCCAGACCTCTCCCTGTCAAAGTTTCCTCCAGTTTCCAGGCGCCTTTTGATGTCGACGAAATTGTTCTTACTGATACCTTGGCTATCTTTGCAATTTCTCTAAAGGAAAGACCTAAGGCTTATAATAGTCTGTCTCTTTTCCTTTATTATTTGCCTTTTTCTTGCCAATATGACAGCAATGTACCTCCTGCAGTGCAATATTGCCCAAACAATGTTTTGTAGGGTGTAGTAACACAGTCTGTTCCAACACTGCTTTTATTCAGAGAGAGGATTTGTGGGTAATCAACAAACATTGGGGGCACCTGTAGAAATAGTTAACACTAGCTGTTAAGGCTTCATTTACTTCCACTGCTGCAGAGCATCTGTAAGTTTTTAGGCCATTACTTGTTACCTGAAAATTATAACTATAAAATTTATATTGTTTTTCAGCTTCTTGCATCCTAAACTTTTGTTTTTTAAGTTGTGGTAGTTTAGCACTTATCTTTGTATGATTTCACATTATTCACTGGACTTAAACTGCTTGAATTTCAGTCAAATTTGTTCAGAAGTATTTGACTGATAGTGTATATTCATGAAAGAACTGACAAAAATCTTCAAAAAAATGTACAGAAAATTATTTGGGGTGCCTCAGACTATATCAAAAGAGTGATAGCTACAAACCTCTATTTTTCTTTTAGTTTCACAGAAACAGGATCTGATTTCTTTGTGGTTTTGATGGGTATAGTAGCACAAGTTTGAAAGCAGTGGTCCTTCAAAACAGTCAAACACAAGTGGCTGGTTTCTGGGTCACACTGACCGAATGTGACCATTGCATTGGCAGGCGAATGGATACAACGCATGATAAAGTTTTCAGTTTTAGCCTGAGGGTTATAAAGACGGGATTTAACCAAAACATGTCCACTTTGAATCAGTGGACTGTCATGAATCTGACCACGGGAAGTTAATATGGAGTCCTCTCCAAGTCATTAACAGCTACTGAGGACACTAAACCCTCAGCTGTTGCAGCGGAGCTTCTCAGTTGCCTGAGGTTGTATAGCGATTGTAGCTTTACTGGGCATTCCCAGATGTGATTGAGTGCAACTGTGGGAAAGAGAAGCGGGTGCTGCTGAAGACCAGCAGGATGATCAGGGAGTTTTCAAAACGGAAGAGGGTGAACGTGGTCTCCCAGTGGACTCACATTGCCCTGCCCTATTAAGCACTTATCACACAGTGTCCTGCCATCTCTTTATTGGATTAATCCAGCTGGGGCTCATGAACGTTGTTTGTTTTTCTTAAACAAGATGTACCAAACCTAGTTTCCATTCTTTGTCTGCAGCCCCTGCACCATCATATTGACTTAAATTCTATGATTTTCAGCCTTTATTTGCTGCCTTACCAGAAAGCAGCAGTATCAGGCAGACGGCAAAGAAGTCAGGGTACTGAGCCAAACCAGGAGAGTTCATGCTGAAGTAGGTCTTACAGAACATCTCTATGTGCCCTCCTATCATTTCGTCAAATGTGCCGCTCCAAGCCCGGGCCACTGAGGAGGTACCTGCGAGAAAGCAAAAAACAAAAACAATGGAGAATCAGCATCTCCTTTAAAGGTTCAGAGTTCAGTATTTAGTGACATCTAATGGTGGGGTTGCAGATTGCAACCGACTGAAACTTCTCCCGTTTGCTTTATGTGTAGGAGAACTATGGTGACCGATGTGAAAATATGAGTGGCCCTGTCTAGAGCCAGTGTTTGGTTCATCCGTTTTGTACTACTGTAGAAACAGCATGGTCGCTACCATGGAGGAGGACCCAGACCATATGTGGATATAAACGGCTCATTCTAAGGTGTCAATGATTCTTAGTTTCAGGTGATTATACACAAGGGAAAACACATTTAATATTTCTGGCATTAGATCCTCCTATATCGTACACACTGGACATTTAAATAACATGATTCAAAGAATGTCACTAACTCACCAATCACATAGGAGAGAATGAGGTTCCATCCAGTAATGAAGGCCCAGATCTCTCCCACAGTCACATAGCTATAAAGGTAAGCAGAGCCAGTCTTGGGGACGCGTGCGCCAAACTCAGCGTAACACAGGCCGGCCATGACAGAGGCGAGGGCAGCAATTAAGAAGGAGATGACTATGCTGGGGCCTGAGTCGCCCTTGGCCACCTCGCCGGCCAGGACGTAGACGCCGGCGCCCAGAGTGCTGCCAACTCCCAGGGCAATGAGATCAACGGTCCCCAGGCAGCGGCACAGCTTTGAGTCCTCCAGGTTGCTCAGGTCGACCACTTTCCTGCGCACCAGGGAACGGCCGAACGACAGAACCTGCTCCAGCATGTTGACACCTACTGACAGGGGGGGCGGAGAAGAAAACTGTGGAAATACCTGTGCAGCATAGGTCTGGCTTAGAGGCAAACTTCTAACTAGGACATAAACATCAAAACCTATTTGAACTAGGTCATCAGATCTGTGAGCAAAGTTTGAACTCCACGTGCTTTACGTTTTGAGCAGCTCTTAAGGCTTGTTCTCTTGGACAAACATGCTGTAAATATGGATGAAACAAAGGTGGGATTAGGACTGTTGAAAAATGTTAACTCTACAAACTATGACGTGCATTGTAGGAATGCTGCTGAGTGCTTCAGCGTGGTAAAGTTCATACAGTAAGTGTCCCATTAAAATCCATTGTTTGGGGTTATGGTGCAGATCTAAGTACTCAAAGAGCGGCATTCATAAGAAGACTGTGAATGCACCATTAGAACACAATAAAGACATTCCAGTATCTCTCTTTAGTAATTAAATTAAAAAGGACATAAAGAACAACCTGCAGGGTCTTCTTTGTTGTCATTGTCTCCTTTCTAAAAATGTCTTTTTCCATTAGTAAGACTGGTGGAGACCCTGGCTAAAATATTTGCATGAATACAATAACATAAATGAGGGGGATATGTGCTCTCACATGAATAGTTTCTGGCTTGCTTTTGAAGTTAAGCTTTCTTCTTTGAACCAAAACCTTGACTATCTTGACCGTATATTAACACTGACGACCGTCCAAATATGCATTCATCTCAATTAAAGTGTGGTGGAAATGAGTTTTGGACGTGACAGCTCATTAACATTACAATGTGGGCTGTATTACAGCGTCTCCAAGAATACAGTAGATGTAAAAGTGAAGATCACAAAGAACAAAATCAGATTTAAAGAGTGAAAATTCAGTTTTGGAAAATGACAATGCAAATTACTGTACATCAGCCTGTCAGGTAAAATGTTACCTGCATTATTATTTCATAAATGTCATGTGTTTTTTTACATTGTACAGTGACAGCAACATGCAGGTCAAAACTGAACATGTTGAATTTCTCTGCAAAGACCGGTGCCTCACAAGCAACTCACACATACTGCAAAGGATTGACAAATACTGATTACACAAATACTGAGTTTTATCAGAAACATGCACCTACCTGTTAGAATGAGACTGTGCAGATGTAACGGGTGTAGGGTCCAACACCGAGAAAAAAACAGTCTTTCAGAAGTGTCGGTGCGTTTCTTACAGCTCACACAGCAGATCAGCTGCACATGAAGTGCAGGTAAAAGTCAAATTAGATCCAGTGCACCCATGAACTGCTGCCTTGAAACTCTGCTTTAGGACTGTGCTCAACACTAATTCATATGCTGGTATGTACACTGAGCAGAGCAGCACTGTTACGCCTCCCCTCTGTCCACACTGTTTCTTCATAGGATCTGCCCTTGTCTTGCCCCTACGCTCCATCCTCCAGTCCCACCGCTGCCAGGGGAGTGACGTCCCCTGAGCAGGGAGGCAAGAGGGGAGGAGGGGGCCCCAGGGAATTAGGGTGGTGGTAGGAGGGAGGTTATTCACCTCCATGCTTGACTTTTGAGGGAGAAAAACTCTGTGAGGACAACATTGCACCATAAGCTCTCCCCACGGGATCACACACAGCAGGACAGAGGAACGAATCTTGATGGAAGAATCTATAATTTCTAATGCACATAGATCCCAGCTGCCCAGATGCTTACTGTCAGTTGATAAATGGTTAGGTAACCGGCGTTGACAAACATTGAGGCAGACACTTGTGTTTACCCAGTGCAGCCCACAGGAGTGCTGCTAAAAGCATGGGTGCTGATTGGTCAATGAAGGGTGGACGAGCTACAGTACTGGGGGGGTTAAGTCCTCCTAATGGAAGACAGGTATTGCTCAATGTTCCCTGAGCTATTGGACTCGTGGACATTACAAAATCAATAACACGGCTCACACGACCAACAGCCTGGCATTTCCACGGTAACTTCAGTTACAAGTTTGAGCTTTTGGAGGGAGAAGTAAGTCAAATTTTTCCAACAAACACTGCCTGAGAATTTAAGCTAAGGTTGAGTTTGAAGTGGAGAGAATATCTGCCAAGACCAGCTCAAACCAGCTTCAGACCTCAGTGGGAAGGTGGCAGCTGGCTGCTGAAAACACTGTCCAATCGACAGGCCAGAGACTCGACGGCATGACAACAGCCAGCTCTCTCTCAGTTTGTCCATCCAGCCAAGCAGCCAAATATCATGGCCCACCGCCCACCAAACCTTGGCTGCAGGGTTGATTATCTGACCTGCATGCTGATGGGAAGCCAATGTTTTCCCTCAGTAGTGGGCACGCTGGAGTCACTACAGTTAATACTGGCCGTCTTTCATAAACACATGACATTTATCTACATAATGAACATAAAAACATTCACAAGACTTTAAATACAGCCAAAAATCTGTACTGACAGGAAAATGCGGCTTCTGTTAAATAACTGGGGAGCATAAAACTGAGAAAAAATTGATTAATAATAAGAAATCACAAGTTTCACTTGCTGATATTACTAAGTCTGCCACGATATGATTTTAATTTGATTAAATTAAGAGGCCTGCCATCAATATGAGAAGATAAATATCCTTGTCACTTTTTTGGCTGCTTGCCATTGTTTCCTTGGTGCCAGTTTCACTAATATAGCTTGAAATATTAATTAACAAACATAATTACAGTATATCTAAAAGCCCATTATATAAATATATTTTTATATATTATACAATTTGCACAAATGTCAAAACTTTTGAGAAAATTCAGGATTACACGTGATTTACATAGTTGGGATAATGCCATAATGTCCTCCTGGACCATAAAAATACTTGCTTTTGGAATGAGCATGGAGTTGTTTCACATGTGGGTGGTCACTGTAACCATGGAAAGGATGGAAAGGAGGCACTGGCTCACCGTATCTCTTTGTTGACATGCGCTAATTCTGTGAAGCCAATTGAATGCATTTGCTCACTGATGGCTGAGCGACCCAGCTTCAAAAACGTGGATATGGTCAACAGATTGAGTGGTGTTTGCCTTGCAGACACTGGGACTGTTCGCTCCAGTTAACACTGGTGTCACCAGGAAATGTTAGAGTGAACAATTACTGATAAGGCAGACAACAGCTCTGAGAAGAATCAAGACGGCAAGACTGACCTCCAGTCTAAAAACGGCAGGGTGAGAGAACACTAGACCTCAATCTGACAAGAATGTAACCAGTTTATTCAACTCAAGTTAAGGACACAGATAAGATGGGTTTCAGTGAAGCTCACTGGAAAAATGTAAAGTAAAGTATAAATTACATTAGAAATTTGTTCAGCAGGCCAGTATTAGCCACGTTGAATTTACCGTAATGGCACAAAGTCTCTTCATATTACATTTTAAGAACAGTCTGGGGACCAAAGCCTGGAGACAATACCTGCTCTAAGTTTGACTTAATACTCTTTTTATTAGGTAGCAGGATGGAGTATAATCTATGGATGTATTCATCCTCATTGAAGACTCCCTCTCCCTCCACTGCTGAACGTGATTTCCTGTCTCTGTCTAGGTCAGTGCACAACCCTTGTACAGTACAGAACTTTACACACAATTCTGAATACAATACAATTATTTGGTGTTGTGGTTTGGGGAACTACACTGGCGGAAGGTTTGGCTGTGAGTTAGACTACGATATCACAGTATATTTTGTTTAAACATCTTTGGCAGCAGTAACAGATTCCTGTAAATGTGATCTGTGATGTCCAAGAATCTTTTGGCCTGCGGGTTAATTGTGGCCTCAAGCTGACTTTACTCCAAGTCCCTCGGGATACACTGACTTCCAAAAATGAATTCCACACTGAGGACAGTGAATTGGGTTAAAATAAAACTGGCTTATATGCATGGAGGATTTCATAAGTTTACAACCCTAAATAAATATTTGGTTTCCAACTGTCCCTCTGCAGTGTCATAATCTTTTTTATATCTTTTTTTTTTTGGCCTTTTATATGAGGCAATTATACCCACTAGGTGTGCACTAGTGATAAAACACATATCAGTCATGAGCAAATATATCAAGGCTTGATTGTCCTAATTAGAATATGCAAATAATATGATTGCTTATTTAAACAGTGGAGAGTGATCTGATCCATGTGATGCTGTCAGAACTGAATAGTGTTTTACAATCATTGGACAATCAAGCTTTTTTTAGTTCCTTTCCATGAATGTAGCGCCGCAGCAGGAGTGGGCATGCAGCAGGGCTGTCAGGCTTCACTAAGTCAATCACTTCTGCTTAGTTTAACTACTAGCTTTTATTGTTTTTTTCAGTCTACTGTCCTGCAACAGATGGCTGCTCCGTTCACTGGTGTGCAAAATGCTGCTGACTATAAAATTACATTTGAAATTTGATATGTGTTACCAAAACAAAAAAAGATGTCAGAAGAACTTGATAATCTGATACAGCTCAGTGTGGGTGTGCAGATAAAATGGGTTTACATCTAGTTTAAATTACATGGGATCCATCTGTGTTTGCACTGGGGAGCTTCTCAAAATAGCCTCACGCTCTGTTTAACAGCCCGACAATCACTTAAACAAACTCAGGATATTTCATGCCCAGTGCCAGAATATACAGTACTTTATCCAATGAATTTAGGCTTTAAATAACATTTTAAACTGTCCTCTGACCTACCACATTGTGACACACCACTTAACATTTAGGCTGATTCAACAAACGATACCAGTCTCAGGCCAGTGGGGAGCAAATAAGGACATTTTCTACAGGATGCAGATGGACTTGTTATAAGCCTAAATGTTGGTCAGCTACATCCTGTCTCAAAACTAAGCTGTGTCTCTGAATGTCTCCTGATGACAGCTTTTAAAAATGCTTATTTTTAACACTAAATGTCCTTTTGACATTCATCCATGCTTTGCTCCTTTTTGACAGGTGGCATCATCACTCAGTCAGATGTCCTTTGGCAAGTGATCAATTTTTCCACAAATCTTGGGCAAGAATGTGAATCCATTTGGAAGTTAAGCACCTTTTTTGCCTCATTTAGTCAATTGGCATGAACACAAACATGCCCACACATATGACCTACATGCTGACTTTCAGCCTCGTAGGGCAAAAACTGTGGCTGCCAAAGGATGGGGAAATTTTTATGGACCAACCCATTGAGCAAGCTGTAGAGCTCCTGGTCGCAGCTTACTATGAAAACCCCTGTGCCACCAGGCCCCCAGGACGTGCACTGGGCTTTAAAGCCAGTTTTCATAGTGGCAGTTACAACTTATGGGTCTGTCTCGTGCATAGACTGTAAAAATAATGGACAAAGTAACCATGATTTCACCCACTGGTTTGTGGACTCCTGTTCTGAAGTCTTGAGTTCAACATTTCGGCCATTGCCATCTGGATTTTTTGGAGCCAGAAGTGACCATATTTGGGTGAAAGGATGGCACCGTAGAGGAGTGAGAGGTGGATCTGAGGACACTATCGGCCCTCTCTTAATCATGGTTTAAAGCTTAATAAAATATAAATGGTTGAGTTAAATAAAAATTCACCCTCTGCACAGTTGCCATGAAGAGGAAAATTAGCTACAGAGACCAAACCGTTTTTCGTAGCAGGTTGTGAACATGTTTGTTTTTGCTGTTAAGTTGGGCATTTCAATGTGGAGTCTCTGGGGAGTGACTGGCTTTGGGAGCCAGCCTCAAGTGGTCATTCAAAGAACTGCAGTTTTTGGCACTTCTGTGTTTTGGCTTAATTTTTCAGCTCTGGAGGTTGCCACTTGGTTACGTAATGCCATTGAGTCCAAAAAGACTTTTTCCCATAGGCTTAAATCTGAAAATCAGTGGATACATTTTTTGAGCGCCACAACCCCTGTGAAATGTGTAACAATTTGGATGTCTAGAAAAGCCACAAGATTAATTTTTTCAATCATTTTATCCCCATTCAAGTTAGCGAATGACTTAACGGGACGTTAGCTATGCAAAAGTCTGCAATGCATCTGCTCTACAAGCCCAATGATGCAGAAGATCCAGATCATTTTATACCCAGAGAGTCGAACTTTGTGGCATCATGTTCCATTGAGCAACAACTTTAATAGGAATGAATGGGGCCCTGCCTCGAACACTGTATCTAGTTCTCTTTATACATCTGTGTGTGAGTGTGGAGGGTCCTTGTACTCTTACATCTTTTGAAGTTTCTAGGATCTATTACTGGCTCTTAGGTGTAAATTGTTTCTCAGTTTGATAGCTGGAATGAAACCAGAGTCCTTTTGCTAGAAGTAACCTAACTTACGCCATGGTCCTGTCTGTAAAGACCTGTAAAATCATATTAATAAAGCTAACTTTCTCTCACCATTATCAGGCTCGATAAATTTTAAGCAATATTTTGCTCCTCACAATAGTCTTTTCATTGTCTCGTCAGAAATAAATCAGCTTCTTATTTGGATATTTCTAATTTCTGATCTGTTTTGCATAAACATCTGCTTAGTAGAAACAAGGAGCAAAAGAATACATCAGCAGGAGTTCTTTTGCTGTGCTCACAGGCTTCTCAGAGGTTTCTCAACTGAGAACAGACACAATACATAGAGAAATGAGACTTGAGGTTGATCACTGAGACAAATTTCTGAAATTGTGCAAACTCATTTATGAGCCAGTCAAGTTTTCTTTTGAATCTTACTGTTATCTCAAGAGCTGATTATTTCAGACAAATGAAGATTACTGTAGCAAGAGAGTAAAATGAGCATTTTTCAGATCTTAAAACAGGACTGCACCTAGACAGAGGGAAGCTATTTTTCTGGAGCTGAACTTGAGAAGTATGTGAAAATGCTCAAAATCTCATATTGATGTTGACCTCAGGTATGTCTAGGAGAAATAGTCTGGACAAAGAGGAGATCTTATTTTGAATTTTTATTTCCTCTGGGAAACCACTGTATCAATCAATATGCTATCTAACTAGTAGTTCCAGTGAAAATGTGCAGTATGACACATTTTCCTTAAATGGCTTGAGGTCAGTAAATATTTTGAATGGACTTACTTTTACAGTGTGGTCAGTAACTCTGGTCAGCAGCAGCTTTAACATTTATCACACAGGCCACAGCTGGGTATTTGGCGGGCTTTAGGACCCAGCGGTGCAGCTCCGTGAAGACGTCCGGGCAGTAGCAATATTATGGCAGTGTTTACCTGCACGCTACAAACCTAGGCATTAAACTAACCCACAGCACACTGTAACACTACTGTACACATGCTGTGCTGCTGGTAGTTGTGCTGTGACAGGGTCAGTGATCGCAGGAAGCTGCGGCACATCTCTCAGCTGCTGATGGAGCACATCCGACTACCAAAGGTAACCGCGGCTCTGGCTGCAGTGATTAGCTACAGTTTCCGCACTGTAACGTTACCTCATCTGTCACCATCAAAACCCGCCAAATGCGGTCAGGATGACTGCAGAGATTGAATCCAAATGATTAAACAAATACACAGGATTAATTAAAGGGTGTGTGGAGCCACGTAGGCAGCCAGTGTCCTCTTGTTGTTATCAGCCACAGTAGACGGCTGGGTGTGTTGGTATATCAGTGCAGCAGTTTACATATGAACACAGCTGTGTCATGTATGTAACTGATCGTGTGCTGAGGATGATGCTGTTTGATGTCCTTCCTCCTCCAGGTGGAGAATGTCAAGCTGCTTGACAGAGTCTCCCCCAGAAGGAGCAGGGTGGGCACCCTCTACCTGACAGCCACACACACCATCTTTGTGGAGAACGAGGCAGGAGTGCGCAATGAAACATGGGTAGGCACCAGCTATCAGATAAGACATGCATTGCACAATGTAGCACATGACATGTTACTTTGTTTAGATTCTGTAGTCACTGTGTGCACATATGCATCATGCTGTGCACTGTGTTTGCAACATACAATAAAAGATCCATGTTTGCCTTCCATATCCAACCAGGTGCTTCACAGTTTAGTGTGCAGTGTGGAGAAACAAGCTGCCACAGCGTCAGGATGTTCTCTGCTCATTCACTGCAAGAACTTTCAGGTTCTGCATTTTGTCTTGCCTCAAGAGCGGGAGTGCCAAGATGTCCATCTGTCCCTGCAGCGGCTCTCCCAGCCAGGTAATCTGTTAAGATCAGTTTGCTGAGGTTAGTGCTCAAATTAAAGTTAGGACAAGATCAGTACATAAGAAGTTTAATATTACTGTCCAATATTGGCTTTTATGACACCTTTTTGTGCTAGACATCTGCTTGTAATTATCCATATCAGTGATTGCCTCAACACCCTGTGCTTTTGCAACACTTTGATCCATCTAACTTCTACACAGTGTAGTTTTTGTGCATCAAACCTTAGTTGTCAGCCGGTGTTGTGCCTTGCAGAATGTTACGAGGAGCTGTATTGCTTCGCCTATAAGCCTAATGTTGATGAGGAGGAGAGACGGCAGGAATGGGACTTCTTGAACCTTAAGGCTGATTACAGCAGAATGGGACTCCCAAACTCCCTGTGGAAACTCTCCTCTGTCAACCAACGCTACAAGGTCAGAGAGCCAACTTCTATGACCAGTTGTACTGTTTTATCCTAATATGGACACGGCAGAAGCTTAGACTTGTGTTATTTTTTAAAGGTGAGTGACACTTACCCTGCTGACCTGTTTGTGCCTGAGTCCGCCACACCTCCGGTCATAGTGGGGAGCTCCAAGTTCAGAAGCAGAGGCAGATTTCCCACTCTGTCATACTACTCCAAAGAAAATCATGTAAGTTGACAGCATACATTTTCACTTGTTATTTTTCAAATGCTTCCTTTGACAAACTCATGTTAATTCAAAGGTTGCGAAGCGTCAATGACATTTCTCAAACTCAGTGATGAGTAGCACTTATAGAACCTGTCTCTGTGACCTACACAGGCATGATGTGAAACTTGTAAGAGAAAAGCCTAAAGCAGCTCAGTTTAGCAGAAAAAAACATATTAAGATGTAAAATGTCATGATGACATTAAGTCTTGTTTTTTATTGCTTTGCATGGCCAGTTTTTGTTGCAACACAAATCAGTCATCCTCAGCATTGTCCTCCCTGTTTAAGCTGCCAAAGTTTTGGTTTTACAAAAAAAAATGCAAGCAGGAAAGTAGAGATGAAACAGTATACAAATTTCAAAAATGTCCAAAAAGTACTGATACACACACTGAAATCTTTCAGTTTTATGGTTAAAACCACAAATAAAATTAGCAGCACTATGCACTTTTTACTTGCATTAAAGGTAAAACAACAGCATTGCCATTACTTTACGAAGACCATGTCAAATGTGCATTAATATTAGCATATATTTGAAATGTTTGCTCGAATGTTGGTGCTACTGTAGATGAGGACAAGGGACCAGTAGTATCACCGGGTTTGCCTGCTGCACGCCTGCTCTGTAAACAAAGGAATAGTAAACCAAACCCATGTTGCACGCTGCGCCTGCATCTAGGAAAAAGTTGCTATCTTCAGTTGCTGATAGACAGTGTTTAATGTTAGTTTTTCAAAGATAATCAAACAAGATTTTAACAATTGTTCAAATTTGAAACAGTAATACTAAACATTGGGAAATTTTACAGCAGTTTAAACTGGTAAATGTTTCATCCCTGCCAGAAGTTTCAAAGGTCACAAACCCCCAAAATAAACATCAAGCCAGTGCTGTTGAGTCATTAGTGCTGTATGCAGATGTATTATGGCATTTCATTAGCAGTTTGAAAGTAAAAATGTAAAAAATATTGTTGATTTGAAACCAGATTTTAACAATCTAATCGTACATCAGATTAAGGCACTGAGCTTGAAGTGAAATAAGAGAAACTGATGATACTCAGATGGCACCAAAGTAGCACCAGATTCTCTATTTGGTTTGGTATAATTTGCTCTGAATGTCTGACCGATCACGTGGGGTAAGTGCTTTCTACTAATAATGTGCATCTGCTACAACACAGCAGAGCCATAGGCAATATGAGACTGTGTTTGTGAAGATACAGAGCATAAACAGATGTCCACTCTGCTATTAATGTCATTTCAGTTTATAATGATTTTAAAAATGGCCCTGAAAAGTCTGATGTGTAACAACAAGTAGATCTTTAACATGGATATGGAAAAGACATGGAATCAAAATTGTGTAATAAAAAAAGGAACACGTACTGAAGATATAAAATAGAAAGAAACTACGCCATAAACAGGAGATCCTCAGCCATGAAATCTAAACAGGGGCTTTGTCAAGTTCACAAAAGGTCCTCTGAGGAGACATCTATTCTGTCATCATGTCAAAGCACGAATCATTACCATTTTCTATATCTGAATCCAGAATAAGGCTACACAGCTATAATCCCTTCTATTAATCCTTGACTGGACAGTTGGGAGTGCTTTATGTGTGTGAGGTCAGCTTCCCAGGCTTGAGGGTCCAGTGTGTGGAGCTCAGTTTGTATGAAGGGGCTCCACTCTGTTTCATGAGCCATAGGGGAGAATCACAAAACGCTCTCTGTCCCTCTCCCTTGTGGCTAGTAAATGGAGATAAGAGAAACTGTGTGGTTGATTAATTCAAATTGAACATGCAAGAAAAGAAAAAGTACTGTGAATCTGTATTCATGCTGATTCTCATATATTGGATTGTTTTGCTCTAGATGTCATCCAAAGTAATAAATCACTTAAAATCAGCTGTCAGACAAACATTCCTGTCCCCTTGCCTCCTCCCAGGCTGCCATCTGCCGAAGCAGCCAGCCCCTGTCAGGTTTCAGCGCTCGTTGCCTAGAGGATGAACAGATGCTGGAGGCCATCTTGAGGTCCAACCCCCACAGCGACTTCATGTATGTGGTGGACACCAGGCCTAAGGTGAGCCCTTTTTGCCCAAGGAACGGCCTGCAAAAATACAAGTCTTACAGTACTATGCTGTATGTTCAGGTGGGCTTTATTTTCCATACAGCGTTTTGCCAGCTGGATGGTCTCACAGCAAAAGCCTTGAAAACATCCTGGCTATGTGCATGTTGAACCGTGATCAATATTATGTAACAGAGGGTTGTGCTTTTTATGTCCCTGCCGGTAACAGCCATGGCCGGAGGCATAATGTTTTCAGGCTGTCCGTCCATCCCATTCTTGTGAGGGTGAGAATGGGAACGCCTTGAGGGAATTTCTTCAAATTTGGCACAAACGTCCACTTGGACTCAACGATAAACTGATAAGATTTTGGTGGTCTAAGGTTACCTTTTCCTCACATAACATGTTTTTGGGCATAACTCAACAATTATTATGAGGAAATTTCATACAAATGTCTAATAGAATAGGATGACTTTTAATATTCAAAAGGTCAAAGGTCAGCTACACTGTGACATCATAATGTTATGCAAAAACACTTTTCTAGCCATCACTCAACGCCATGTCTCAGGAACAGAAGGGGAGATATCTGATCAGATACTGAATTAATGACGCTAATCTTAGGTGTTCAACTTGAAACTGTGCTGAATGTATAGATCTGTGCTACCGGGTTACAGATGTGTGTGAAGCATTAACATTTTACAATTTATAGATTCTTTGCAGAGAAATTCATATTTGAAACATCATCTACTGTTATTAGTACAACTTTGTGTGCTATCCATAGATTGTAAAAAATAATGGATGTAGCTACTACGACATAACTCATTGGTCAGTGGACTCCAACTTTGAAGCCTCGAGTTTGGCATTTTGGCTGTCGCCATTTTGGATTTTTTGAGCCTGAAGTGACCATATTTGGATGAGAGGGTGGAGCTAACCTTAACGCTAGCTGCTAGCTTGGTTACTGACATGCATTTACCACTATTACTAACTGTGATAATGCTAATGCTAATTTTTGCTAGCAAACGCAGGCTTAAAACTATTAAAAGACAGTCAACTTACCACGAAAACTGACCATCTGAATTTTAAGAGGGTCTTTTAGTACAACTAAGAGCTAAACAAGACTTTTCTTAGACGACCAAAATGTTACCTTCCATTTAATTAAAACACACTTAAATGGCAAAACCTACACCTATACTCTGCAACTCTGGGGCAATAAGCTAACCAACGTTGTCGCTGTGGTAGCAACTTGTCAACAGGCTGCACCGTCCTGTTCCTTAAAGTGGGCACACTCTTAATTATGCATAACTTTAAGTCATGATAAAATGTAAATGGATGAGTCATATAAAAATTCACCCCCTATGCAGTTGTCATGAATGGGGAAATTAGAGACCAAAACATTTTTTTGTACCAGGCTGTAAACATGTTTATTTCTGTTGTAAAGTTGGGCATTTTAACATAGGGTCAATGGAGATTGACTCACTTTTGGAGCCAGCCCCAAGTGGCCATTTGAGGAAATGCAGTTTTTGTCACTTTCGCATTCGCTTCATTTTTCAGCCCCAGAGGCTGCAGCTTAGTTCTGTCCTGCTCCTCTGGTAGTCCACCACAAGCTTATTGGCTTTGCTGATACTGAGCTTCAGGTGTTTGTCGTTGCACCATATGACTGAGCTCTCTATCAGTCCTCTGTACTACTCTGTAAAAATAATCTTTACATGCAAACATCTTGTTTCTCACTGGAAATAATTCACTGGAATCATACACGTCAGTATAGTAATAACTTCCATTTTGACATAAAAATACACATTATTAAATTCCTTAAAAGTTTTCACTGCATATATGAGTCTGGACAGACATGAATGTAAACTACAACCGGATTGGTTGGCAGAGGCAAACAACTGTGAGGCAGTAATTCTAGTTTATTATTTTGCTCTTGAAAAACTATGTTTTGATGATTTATGAAATGTCTTTTCAGCTGAATGCAATCGCAAACCGAGCTGCAGGAAAAGGCTATGAAAACGAAGACAACTACTCCAACATTAAATTCCAGTTCATCGGCATTGAGAACATCCACGTCATGAGAAACAGCCAACAAAAAATGCTGGAAGGTAATTATCTTGTCTTACTGAAATGATTTGTCATACTGATTTGAGATTTATTTACTCTAGAAACCATTTGGAAGCCACAGCAGTGCATTCATCACTGTCAGAAGTGTTTCAACACATCAGTGTTTGTGGAACGAAATGTATATTTTCTGACATTGTCTGTCTAAAGTCCACTGCTTCTTCACATTACTAAAGCAGAGCAGGACCCCATGCTACCCTGTGGCTTTCATATGCACTCATGCAGACTGGACTGTGCTGCAATCAGGCCTCAAATGAGCCCACAGGAGAATTTCTGGGTATTGTGCAGGGGTGCTCCTAGGAAGACTTTGAATCCATCTGGATTTTATTTCTGAGCTATTTTGGTTTCCCGGAGTGGACAATCCGGGACCTTATCCCCCAAAGAGAGACCGAGGGCGTGAGAATGATGTGATTTCAAGTCTGAAAAGTTATAGCCGTTCTTAGTTGTGATAACTCTTTGCCCCCTGGCAGCACAAGGGAAGTCTTTAAATGCTGGAGGCAGTGACTGCCCTTCAGAGCCTGCCCAGCTCTCTCTCTACCCCACTGCACACTTCAGTGAGATTTCGAAGGCCCCCCGCCTGGCAGCATTAGCTCAAACATTTCTTCTAAGTGGAAGTCGGCCCTGCTAAGTGTTACAAAAGGTTGAATGAACCCAGTCACCTGCTCGCTCCCTATCAGTGGCCTCAGAGAGCGCTTACAGGTCAGCGCACTGATAAAGTGTCAGCAAAATCCACTTTGTCACCTCTGTCAACACCTTAATGAGTACAGAGAGAGCAGATGTTTTCACACAGTTATCTAAAAGTGTGTCTAAATTATGAATGCTAATGTGATAAATAATCCCATGCTTATGAAATGTCAGCTGAGGAGAAACGGGTTCATATCACTCTGCCCATCAGTCAACTTGCAAATATTTGTGTTGAACCCTGAGGACGGAGAAATGAATTGTAGGTTTCAGTTTTACAAGATAAATAAACAGAAGACAGGAAGTCTTACATTCATATCATAAAATACACAATAGCAAGACTACAGTCTACAGCGTTGCTAGCATTTCTGTGAGGCTATACCAGCACAAAGTGGTTCTAGTTAGCTAAATGCTAACTTTTAACTGATAATGCTAATATGTTGATGTTAAGCAGGTATAATGTTTACCATGTCCACCATCTTAATTTAGCACTTTAGCATGCTAACAGAGGTGGAACCAAGCTATTGCTTTGCAAGTCACAAGTCTCAAGTTCCAAGTCAAGACAGGCAAGTCCACGTCCTAAACTCTGAGTAACAAGTCCTAAACTAATCATAATGCACTCTACACCAAATGTATTGCCATTTTAACAACAGAGTAGTTATATATTAAATTCACAGAAATGCCTTTTAAATGTGTATGTATTTGGTAAAACAAGTTGCAATTAGTTTTTTATTGGCTACCGCATAGTTTTTCACCAACAAAATTATGTTTTGTATCATTTGGTCTTCATGGCTCTTTCCTGCAGCTTGATTGGTTGCTATCGGATTGGTTCAAACAGGTGGATTTTATTTAAGTGTCGACTTGCAGGGAATGAATAGTGTTAAGATTCAGGATATGATGGGAAACTAACTGATTTATGGCACGTTTTTAAATATATTCTTTTAAATCTTTGGGCTCGGGGAAAGATATTTATATTTTCAAGTCAAAAGGCTCAAGTCCAAGTCGAGTTGCAAGTCTTTTTTGATTTTGTGAAGTCCGGTCTACAGTAGTAGAATTTGTGACTTGAATTTGACTTGAGTCCAACTCATGTGACTCCACACCTCCAGCCAATAAACACTAAACATAAAGTACAGCTGAGGCTGATTAGAACGTTGTTAGTTTTGCATGAATTTAGTCATCAACCAAAGAACTGGACAAATTAAAAAATGTGATGTGATTTGAAAGATTTGCCAAAGTGATTAAAATTCATCATCAGGTAAATATATGAACGTTTCTGCCAAATATCATGGCAATCTATTAAATAGTTGCTAAGACATTTAACTCAAAACCACAAATGATGTCATGGTGGCATTAGAAGAAAAGTTAGGTGTCCCCAAAAGCACTACGATTATCATCTAGGAGCTATGATTATTTGTACTTTTTTGTCAGTCCATGTAGCACATGTACAGAGAGTAAATCGCAAGTGAAAACTTTGACCTACTGATGGGCCAAGATGAAAAACCAAAGGTCACCAATGTCAGTAGGATTAATCCTCTGGGGATCATGAATATGTGTTTAAAATTAAAGAATTGCTGAGCTATTTTAGTCTGGACCAAAGTGTTTGATAGAGAGACAGACTGCCATCCCTAGAGCCACCGTGCGTGACTAAAAACATTGACTGTGGTCCAAATGAACCATCATGTGAGAAGCTGAAGGAAATCTGTTCTGAAAAAGCACTTCAGACAATATTTTCTCATACTGTGCACAGATTCCCTAGAAATTCATTGTTGTGGATGATGTTAGTGATGTGAAAGTGAATGTGAGGTTTAATAAAGTCCAATGATCAGGTATGCTCCATGTTTCCTGTTGGTGAGACAGCTGTGTTGTGGTTACAGTGTGTGAGCTGCGTTCCCCCTCCATGTCTGACTTCCTGGAAGGTCTGGAGAACTCAGGCTGGCTAAAGCACATCAAAGCTGTTTTGGATGCAGGCATCTTCATCGCCAAGGTCAGTCTGGAGGTTAATCCCCGCTGTCTCTCTCACCACAGCACTCAATATTAGCTTAGGTGTGTGTATGTTTGTGTGTGTGTCTGTGTGTGTGTTGTATTCTGTGTGTGTAATACAGATATTCTATGTCTGTGAACACTCAGTTATGAGCTTTACCTAACCAAAACTTAGAAATTATGATACTTAAGTTCTGCAATAAATACTTGAGGCTACCCTCATGGCAGCTCAAAATAATAGAAACATTTATCAGTGTATCAACCACATCCCAAACTACAGCCTCCAAAATGAGTTACTCAAGTAAGTCCCCTCTGACTTCTTAGACAGTACTTGCCTTCAGGCTCCACCAGTCAAACACTTAAAGGATCTTTAATATGACATTCTCACCACGGGGGTGGCTGAGCTGGCAATGAGCAGCTAACAATGCTAACTCCATAAACTGCGCTAACAGTGGCGACAGTGCTGACAGAGGCAAGGCAAGGCAATTTTAGTTATGTAGCACCATTCATACACAAGGCAATTCAATGTGCTTTACAAGAGAAATACATCAAAATAAAACATTAAAGGAACAATAAAATTGTGTTTGAGATCATCAAAAACAAAAGCTAAAAGCAAGACAATAAATAGTTAAAAACAGTGCAGAAAATGCATTTAAAAAGCAAACATAAAGCAAAAGCAACAGCAGACAAATATAAAAACAATAGCTACAGATTATCCTAACAATAAGTTGCATATCTAGTTCACTGGTAAGCTGCAGTAAATAGTAATGTTTTCAGCCCTGATTTAAATGAGTTGACAGTTTCAGCCAACCTCAAATATTCTGGAAGTTTGTTCCACAGGCGGGGAGCATAGAAACTAAAGGCTGCTTCACCTTGTTTGGTTTTGATCCTGGGAACACTGAGTAAACCTGTTCCAGATGATCTGAGGGGTCTGGATGCTTCATAACGTACAAGTATATCAGAGATGTATTTAGGCCCGAGACCATTTAGTGCTTTATAGACAAGTAACAAGATTTTAAAGTCTATCCTTGGACACACAGGAAGCTAGTGCAGTGACTTAAGCACTGGTGTAATGTTCTCCACTCTCTTGGTGTTGGTGAGGACTCTGGCAGCAGCGTTCTGGACGAGCTGCAGTTGTCTGATTGATTTTTTACTCAGGCCTGTGAAGACACCGTTACAGTAGTCCAGCCTGCTGAAAATGAAAGCATGAACAAGTTTTTCTGTATCTTGTTTAGACAGAAATTCTTTTATTCTTGCTATGTTTTTAAGGTGGTAGTAGGCTGATTTAGTAATTGTCTTAATGTAACTATTGAAATTTAGGTCCGAGTCCAGAACTACACCAAGATTTCTGGCTTGATTCGTAGGTTTTAGTGTCATGGTGTCAAGGTGAGCACTGACTATTGATCTTTGTTCTTTGGGGCCAAAAACAACTATCTCAGTTTTGTCTGTGTTTAGTTGTAGAAAATTCAGAGCTAACGGTGTTACCCTGGCGGCGAACCAGAGGGTGGGCGCTACCCTTCTGCGATGACGCTGTGGGTCAGGACGGTGTTAACAGCAGTAACCACTGTAGGAGCACAGTGCAGAGTGGTGGCAATTAGCTAGCCAGTGGAATACACACACAGGGCCTCACATGCACATCTGGCACAACAAAGAACAGAGAAGTTCAGATTACAACGCATAAACAGGTAGTGCGGCTTCATTCTCTGTTCAGGACACCGCTATACTATATCATTATATAAATAAACAATGGTGATCATGCAATATTTCCATCCATGATTGCTTGCTAGCAGTCTTCTTCTTCCTTGCCTTCTCTGACATGTTGGTACATTTTGAAACCAGCATTGATCAGTAGAATAGCATATAACCAGGGGCAGGAATTTGTCTTTAATGTGTGTCCTTGTGCATACGCATGCATGGTGTACACAATGGGCACCCTCTCGTAAAAAACAACAACAAAGAATTTGCTTTGTTTTTGTGCTTTTTTAAACATTTCTAACATGTGTTTCGACACATGGCCTATACTAGATATTTGCACTTTGACGACAGTAGATCTTTCTAAATGTATTATGTTACCCTGATTGTGCTGTGGCACTGCATGGTGTGTGTTTGTGTATGTGTGCAGGCTGTTGCAGAGGAGGGCGTCAGTGTCCTGGTTCACTGTTCAGATGGTTGGGACCGCACTGCTCAGGTGTGTTCAGTGGCCAGTGTGCTGCTGGATCCGTACTACAGGACCCTCAGGGGACTCATGGTAGATACTAAACCTTTTTGTATTTAAGCTACAGTTTAGAATTGCATCTTTTTAAGTAGCACTGTGAATGTCACTTACCCTCTGTTTCATACTCATATATCCAGTTGCATTCAGGCTACAGCTGACAGTAGCCCACACTGGGCTCCTAAGGCTTGTTTCTTTGATCAGAAGGATTTGCACAGGCTAACTTGGAATCCACCAGGAGCCACTGTGGAAAATAAATATAACAGAGAAGCCTGCTTTTGGGAATTGCCTCAGAATAAAAGAATAAAATGACCCCACACAGACGGTGAAGAGGTTCAGTCATTCTGCAGGGATTATCTGTGAGCTATGTCTGAACCTTTAATCGTGACATACTGAAATTGTGCAGAAACTGATGGTCCTGTTTGTGTTTTGGGATATTAATGTGTTTTCTGTTCTTAGGTCCTCATTGAGAAAGACTGGATCTCATTTGGACACAAATTCTCCCACAGGTTTGACTTAAAAATATTACTGTCACAGCTTCCATGATTTTAGATGTTTCATTTCATCTAACCATCCTCACCTCTTCTCCAGATGCAACCACCTGGTCGGAGACCCTAAGGAGGTGTCTCCCATCATCGATCAGTTCCTGGAGTGCGTGTGGCAGCTCATGGAGCAGTTCCCCTGTGCCTTTGAGTTCAATGCGAGGTTCCTCATCACCATTCACAGCCACATCTACTCCTGCCAGTATGGCAACTTCATTGGCAACAACCAGTGGGAGAGGATAGAGCTGGGGTGAGATTTAAACCTGCAGCCACCATCACTTTCCTTTCCTTTTCACAGCACAGACATCTTGTCAGAGCCACCAAGACTGACTACTGAAGAGAAGTGATAGCCACTAGTATATCACATAACCCGCTTTCTGCAAATAAGGCGACTCTGTGCCATAATGTTCATCTAAATTGATTTCTTTTTCATCAAGCGTGATTTTATGTTGTCTTTATCTCTTGACATTCAAACAGACTGCGTGAGAGGACTCACTCTTTGTGGAGTTATCTATGGAAGAACCAGGCAGACTACATCAACCCTCTGTACCGGCCAGACCACAGCCAGACACAGGGTCTCCTCCGGCCGTCTACTGCCCCCTACTGCTTTAAGTAGGTCCTCACAAACAACCACACCACATACAACTTAGGTATTAAAGCCTGGTACACGCATTTCCTATTACTTGTACGTTGAAAACAATGGTCTGAGTCGTTCAGCTGTCTTGTAATAAATCCATTCACAGTGGAAATCATTTGAAATAATCACAGTTACAGTGATAAACCACTTACATGAATCAAAAAGCTTGAGACAGACTCATTTCTATACAAATGTTTAAATAATTCACCTATCATATTCAAGTAGTCCACTTACAGTTTTCATTTAGGGTCTCTTGTAGGAAGCACTTTTAAAACTTTTTTTTTACCTTACTCACATGGGTAAAGTATCTGTGGTTGAAGCCACCTCTTGTTGATTGACATCTAGTAAGGGAAAAGGCAAAAGAATTGGCAATGATCCCGGGTTTCCATAAGCTGGTTTGAGCAAAATTAAAAGGAGAGAACATTGTGTGTAAGAAACTACACGAGGAGGCTGCTTAGGCTGACACAGTGTCACAGGATGACTGGCCTGAGGATCAGTGGAGACAGATGAGACAAGAATACACTGAAGAAAACATTTGGAATGCCGATGAGAGCGGAATTTATTTCTGAGTACATTTTTAAAGCTTTTGTACTGTATTTTGAAGCAGTTAATAAAGTTCAGTAAATAGCAGCTGTCCATTTTACTACTTTATATTCATGTTATAAACAAAAAAATGTCAATTAGATGGTAATCTGCTTTTAAAGGTACGTGTGTAGGGCGTAGAGGCATCTATTTGTAGAAAGGTTTTATAATATTTATAACTATGTTTTCATTAGTATATAATTACCTGAAAATAAGAATCGTTGTGTTTTCATTACCTTAGAAGGAGCCGTTTAAATCTACACATGGAGCTGATTCTCTCCCACAGACTCCGCCATGTTGTTTTCGCAGTAGCCCAGAACAGACAAACAAAACACTGGCTCTAGATAAGGCTATTTGTGTTGGCGTTTCAGCCATTGTAGCTCTCCTACACGTTTGGTGCAAAAGGTTTAGTTCTGCAACCTCGCTGGTAGATGCCACTAAATCCTACACACTGGACCTTTATAGAAAAAGAAGCTTATAGTGATCAATTTGACCCGGACAGATGTGATTACAATAAGAGGTTTTCACCAGAAGTTGTATATGAAATAAAAGGAAGGAGCAAGAGTTGATGTGTTGATGTAAGAGCTGTAAATCTTTTGCTTCTTGTAGGTTTTGGAGAGGGCTGTACAACCGCTTTGACCGAGGGATGCATCCTCGACAGTCTGTGGAGGATTATCTGAGAGCCATCCAGGAGGAGACACAGCAGCTGGAGGAGCAGTTGGCTTCACACAAACAGGTAGGACAGGGCTGTAAATTCATTCTGCTTGTCATTGCTCCTGAGAAAAAAAAATCTACTGTAGTGTTTTTGCTGGTTTTAGAGGATGACCGTAGTCTTCATGCCTTATATTATCAATAGAAAATTGCTCAGCTGGAACAGGACCAGGAGTGGAGTGTTACCCAAAAAGCAACCGCCTTTGATAAGAGCCCCACAGCATGGGCTCTGGGTAACGACCTCGGTCTGGCCAACACCCCTCAGGACTACACCGGGGGCTTCTTCACCAGCAGCCCCTGTCAGCCCAAAGCACCAGACAGCAGCCTGATCCTGCCGACCCAGGACTTGAACCAAACATCTGAATCCAACCTCTCCAACGGCAGCGACCAGGAGTCAGGGATCGCAGACGTGAGCTGTCGTTCCCCTCTTAGTGAGGACAGCACCAGGGATCCAGACTCTGATGAAGCTGCCTACTCAACTGCCTGATCAAATGTAGCACATAGTGGAAGGTGTAGCATCAACCCTCCGTCCACTGTGCCACTGAACAAACACTACTGTACCTTTTTTACACTCAACAAGTAACCCAGCTATTGGCCAACTCCAGTGAAAAGTTTTATTGGGTTACACAAGTGACTTGCACTCCTGTTTGCATGTGGTGTGGTGGGCCCTCTCTGTTGCCACATACATACTAATTAATAGTTATTTACTGTAGCTGACCACATTTTACTTCTTATCCCGGTACAATGCTAAAAGTAATAACACAACTGGATATTGCTCACTGTCATGTATCTTGTTGATGGCAGTTAACCCATAAGAGTCTCCACAAAAAGTTGAAAATAGTTTGATGCCTCCATGGCCAGTGAACAGTTTAACGTTGGAGATATTTCAGCCACGATTATATTGAAAGCCTAAGGTGAACAAAAACAAGTTTACGAGAGTAAAGAATGAGTTAAGAACAATTTTGAACAATTCAGTGCACATGTAAGCAGAGGGTGTCCTCTCAAATTATTGGTGAGCCATTTAGTTGTGTGTGCTTGCTTTTTACTATGATCTTCCACACACTTTCATTCATTAGGACTTTGTCATTACAGTGTACACCTTTTAAACATGCTGTCATCAGCGGCACTTTGATATTGAGTTTTCAAAGCCACGTGAAACAAGAACCAGAGCTCCAACAAGACCAAATCATCATTTCAGTTGCATTGTTTGCACTTAAAGGAGCTCTATAAGATAATCAGAGCGTATCTATTGCTGCGTTCCCGTTTACCCTGGAAGTTGAGCTGGAAATGACGTCACACCTGAGTTGACCGTGTTCCAGTACGTAAGTTACAACACCTAGACGTTGTTAGCAATACCAGTTGATAACAATGCATCATACTGTATTTTGCACCTCAGCAACATTTCCACTTGGACAGAACTGTGTGTAAAACTGTTTTAATGAGACTTAAATAAGAGAGAAGTGCCAATAAGCAGTATATTACTGCAGCTTTCACTACCTTTGAGGCGCGGAGCAGCCATCTTGAATTTTAAGATCAGGGTTGGTGAGGTCCCTCCTTCTTTCCAAATCGAAAATCTGGCTTCAGAGGACAATTCAGTTAAAATTTCCAACTCCAAAACCCACAAATTCTGACTTCCTGGTGCAAATGGAAAGCACCATATCATTCAGAGATTGTCTCCACATGGCTCTCATCATGGAGGTGGCTGAGCTGGCAGCTAGCAGCTAGCAGCTACGGTGTTAACAGCGCCAAAAGTGCTTACAATGGCAACAGTTCTAACAGAGCTAACGGTGTTAACCAGAGTGAAACTGGACGCTTTTGAATGACTCATCTCTGTTGCAGTGTTTGCAAAAACTTTGTTTTATTTTTCTGTGTTTTAGTAATTTTGTTTAGCAGCTAATTTAAATGCTGTTGCACCTCATGGGCACTGCTGCTCAACCATAGTCAGTCTGAAGTCAAGTTTCCAGCAGTCAACCCAAATTTTAGTTCAAATGGCAAAGTAGCAGTGTTTCAACCCCAAAGGACTTATTGGGACCAAACTAAACTCACTCAGCACAACACAGTGACCTCAGCTGGGAATTTGTACCATTACACTACAGCTATAGCAAGTGGTGAGTTGTGGTTGATTGGCACCTTGAGGTTCACAGCTGGGTCGCTTCAACTTGATAGACAATATTGTTTTAAATTTACACTACAAGACATAAAAAATAGCTTTTAAAAGGCAACTTTATACATTTCTGTCCACAATATTTTGCTGTGAACAAACCAACATTCTTACCACAGAGAATTGACCCTCTACAGGTATAAATAGTGATGAGTCCAGACACAAAAATTCAGTAAGCAGTAAGTGATAGGACTACTGATAACTGAACCAGCAGATGAAAGCATGCGAACACAAATATAGATTACAGAGTGTCTATATTGGTGCCATCTCGATTAGCATTAAAACTGCTGACTTTAATAGTAAAGTAAACATGACTGCACTCCAATACTGCTAATGAACAATGCAAAGATTATCAAGCAAAGCATGTTAAGATATTTTTGTACTATGGCGTATTTTTTTGGCTACTTGCTTTAATGCATGTTGTTTTTATTTGTATGATAGAGTCTAAAATGTCCAGTCATAAGGGATTCTGACCCTGTAAAATAAAGAAAGAGCTTTATATTGCTGTGTTTATGTGTTCAGGTGGAATAAGAGCCAAATTTGTCAAACTTATCTCAATGCAAAGTTGTGTAATTTGTGTCAGTTTTCTTTTGAAATAAATAAATATGTTATTGTCAATTGTATTGTTCAACCATTCTTGTGTTCTTGACTTAGAAAGTAGAAAGTAGTTTTATTTAGAGTGACTGGGATGCTGATTGTAAAAATAAGCTGTGTCAGATTTTTATAGTGTGATTTTTTCATGCTCCATTGTGTTTTTGGGGTAGGCAGAAATTGCAGTCCAATCACCTGGACAAATAAAACCGACACAATTCACGTGGCTATATACCGCAAGTGGCAAATGACAAATTATGCTTTTTTTTGTAATTTGGGCAAACCAACCCTCTAAAAATGTTATCCAGCATTTGTATACTTATTTTACAATAGGTAAAATCTATACAGAACTCACACAGGTTGACCGATGACCAAGTACTTTTATTCAACAGTAGGGATGAAATCCAGTTATGTCCCCCTCCTGTTTAATTTTTTAACCATACACATATAAGATGCAAGACGTGCAACAGTTTATGTCTGAACATAAAAGAAAAGTTATCCAAGATCTAATGCTTCAATGAAGTGTGGAGATGTATTAGCATAAGACTGTATGAAAAGACAAACGCCATGGGGTGCTGTGCAAAGATATTAATTAACTAATTAAAATAAAAATTAGATAAATAAAAAAAGTGCACATACCGTATTCTTTATAGTTTGTATTTATTAATTAATTTATTTTTACCTGTGTTGTTCCTGTTTGTGTTGGTTTCTCATTAGGTCTTGATAGATAGATAGATAGATATATATTCACAATGTATTTGTGTCATAACAGGTGACTAATAAATAAAAAATAAAACTGCAAAATAAGGCTTAATAATATGAGTAAAAAATGTAACAGTGTGCGGACAAAAAGAAGTGGGATAATGTTTAAATGTTTAATTTTCGTTTTTACACATAAGAAGTTATTGAGGCACGAGCACTGGACAAATAGGACGCGGTCGCATACGCACATGACATGTGTGTCTTACGTGATGACGTCGTGTTGTAGGCTCAGCTATGATGGCAGCCGTGGGTTGACATCGATACATTACAGAATATAAACTATTTAAAAGTTAGCGGAAAAAACCCCGACACAATAACGTAGGACAAACTAACAGTTTTCAGATAGTACACACTTAATCACACATCCGCCCGGTTTGGGGAACGGTAAGTTCACGAGGCTGCAGTGAGCTTTGCAGTGTCAAAGTGGCGCTGAGTGTGTACCAGTGAGTGTGTGTGTGTGCAGCTAGTTAACTCGTCTCTTTCACGTTTTGCACACACTCATATTTATCTGTCGAGCTAGCTGTGTACCTGAGAAGTGTGTCACACAGCCTCCCACATGACAGCCAGCACTGTCCTGCTCATGTTAGCATGTTGTCTGTAGCCTGCTAACTGCTACAGGTAACCTAGCTAGCCTAAAGTGCTGCTACAGACTGCCTGCGACGAGCTAATGTTAACAGCAGCAAGCAAAGCGCGTCCAGCATGTCATGAGTCAAGTGTTAGCACAGTTGTTAGCGTCTAAATAACTTGTTAATTGAGCAGTTAAGGCAAAGTGTCCCAGCTGAGAGGAGGCAGAATCCGCTCTGAGGTTGAACTAGCTTCAGTGTTGAGACTGACATGGAGGTATCAGTGAATTGACACCCAGAGCAAGTTGTTTTTATGCAAATAATATTGCAACATTATCTATTGTAAGCCAAAATGGTCTGTCAGCACTTCTTGGGTGTCATATGCTGTATGCCTTTGATCTGCCACCTCTTACCATTTGATCTGTCATAGGTCAGCATGTTGGGGCAGCTCTATGACCAACTGTCGTCTCTTCTTACTGTATGTCTTATCTCTGTACATGAAGTGGCACTATGCCCGCAGCTACTGTGGATCACAGCCAAAGAATATGTGAGGTTTGGGCCAACAACCTGGAGGAAGAGCTGAAGAGGATCCGACATGTCATCCGAAAATACAACTACATTGCTATGGTGAGTGGTGCACAGGGGATGAAAACTGTCTGATGCAGCCGGATTTACATTCTGCATCATGAGCTGTCTGTCTTCTCACAGGACACAGAGTTTCCAGGTGTAGTAGCCAGACCGATCGGAGAGTTCAGAAGCAACGCTGACTATCAGTACCAGTTGCTGCGCTGCAATGTGGATTTGCTCAAGATAATCCAGCTGGGCCTCACGTTTATGAACGAACAAGGGGAATACCCTCCGGGAACATCGACATGGCAGTTCAATTTTAAGTTTAACCTCACGTAAGATGACTTCTCCCACTCTTTTTTACTTCTTATGTGCCATTCAAATTCATCCATAGCATGTAGTTGAGTATTTGGGTAGAGTATCTCAGCTTGCTCACAGCATGCACAGAGGTGAGAGAGAGTTACACATTTAGCTTCAAAACAAATCACCTAGTTGGCAGTGTTTCAAATGCAGATTGTCATTTTAGAAGCCTGAGGGCAAAATTTAGAAGTCTTTGAACTGCACACACTGACAGAGCACAGCACCTGAGTCACAGCTTATAAAATGCAGACTATTTTTATAATTATGATGTGCAGTTACTGCTCTCATACTTGCTCAATTGTCTTTTGTGGTTGAAATAATAACAGTGTGACATGTGTTTGTCTTCATCAGAGAAGATATGTACGCACAGGACTCCATTGAGCTCTTGACCACTTCAGGGATTCAGTTCAAGAAGCACGAGGACGAAGGCATCGAGACGCTGTACTTTGCCGAGCTGCTGATGACATCAGGAGTGGTGCTCTGTGATGGGGTCAAGTGGCTGTCTTTTCACAGGTATATTGCCTTTAATGTTTTTTCTTAAGCAGACAGTTGTACATAAAGTAGAGAGCTGCACAGCAACAGGATTCATATTTGCAGAAGTTTTTCTCCCAGGTATAACATCTCTTACTTTCACTTTTTGCATGTCCGTTAATAATCAAACACTGATCAGACACATTGTGTTTATTCTGGTATAATAGGGTATTATTTTATTGTGTTTGTGCACCACCATATTCATGATACGCACTATCTTTTATCCAAATTTTCTATATTATAAGTGTGCTAATGTGTAGTATATTTTGTCATGTCTGCACACATGCATCCCCCTGTGTTTAAATGTTTACTCATGATATTTGCCATGGCCTTTCAGAAGGACCATGAAAAGCGTCAAGATTTTTTTTTTGTAATATACATTTAAACTGGATATAAATATCCCGCTTAAGTGTGCTGGTCAG